TTTAAAACAATTAAATTATAGTTTAATTAATTTATTTATTATTCAAAATCTCATTGTCATTATAACCTAATTTATCATAGATTATATTTAAAAAAAAAACTATGTATTTGAACTTTGGTAGTATTGTGTGATCCAAACATTTAAATTACAATTTATTCAAATGTATTTTACCTTACCTTAGAAGTTAAAACTTGATAATTATTTTAAATTTGTAGTAATTTAATCATCAAATTGTTATACAATTTAAAAATACGCTATTATACTGTGAATATTGTACTGTGGTATTTTATTAGTTTTCGTTTATAGTTTATTGTACCAATAACATATTTTAATGATGATCGTTAAAAGTAAATTTTGTGATTAATTGTTTATTCACAGCCGTATCGTGTATATTATTTAAACCAATGAAAATGTGTATAACACATAGGTATAAAAATGAAGAACATATAAAGGTAAAAGACAAAAATATAGTCCTAACCCGTAATAATGATTCCATTTACCTTTGAAGTGAATCTTTTCCCTTTTGATCGGTGTTATAATTGTAAGCAAACAAGTGGGTGAAAAGGAAGTCAAGGCAGAGTTTTGCAATTTAGAAGTGGTTGAGATTATTTCGATCACATACGCAATTTCTAATTTAACAGTTGGAAAATTATTCAACTTATCTTGTTGGCGTCTTCTTTTTATTATCACATCTTATGCTACATGACGCCATCAATTAATATTATTATATTCGTTTTTATCTCATTGTTACTTTACAGTACATCCATACTGTGTAATGTTTCATTATTGAAATACAATGCAAATACATTATCAGGTAGAAGGGGATTCTTTTACTATCTTCATATTACAATGACTATAATATTATACTTCTATAGCAGATAGTCTTTATAGTTTTCGCTGTACATTCTTGTATTTATTGTGGTAGGGAATGGTGCTAGATAATACATTGGGTCAATATTCGGTATGAATTTCAAGGTCTTGGTATGCATGACTAGAGTTTGTTGCCCAACATCACACGCTGGCGGGGAGAGGGTCAATTGGGTCTGGACCCCCCAGGTTCTAAATTAAGGTTGTAATTACACTTAACTTTTTCTCCCATATGCATAACACGTTTATAATATCATTTTAAAATTTAGAATAAAAAACAAATTATGAATTTGTTGAATCCAGAGGTTCTATAAATATTAATGAATAATAATTTAATTGTACCATTATCTAATTGTTTTATTAGTGGTGTTTTATGAATAGTAACTATATGATTAAATATTTTCTTGAATCATACCGACCAAATTGAAATCAATACATATTATGTACACATACATAACAGAATTGGTTTATTATTGCTGAACTACTTAGTTAATGATGTAATAAATTATGAAGAAATCATGTTTACTCTAATTGTTATTTATTGTTATAAAATCCGCTACTCGAACAATTAAGAATATATAAGTATTTAATATTGACAGTTTGTTGAAAATATTCAGGTAGTCATATTTGTATTTCCTTCTCAGCTAGTTGTTGTAATTCATATTCATAGATTAAAAGCGGATCAATGAATATATTTGCTTATAGTATATACTTTATACAATATACATATTATGTATTGATTTTACTATGTTTTTTTTTTTTTTTATAATTGTCATCACCTTTTGGTGCAGTTAATTTTTTTTAAACTTTGAGTTAAAATAAAAAAAATAAAAATACAGAAAAACTAAAATAATAAACAAATTTTTTAATTAAAGCCTAACAAATTCAAGTCTTCATTTAGGATCATTTTTCCTATACAATGACCATTGATTCAAATTTAACAAATTAATTACCATTGACTTACTCAACGACGAATTATGCACTCAATTCCTTGTATACAATACAATAACTTTCCAATTTTTTTCTTTAAGCTTTAAATTATACAATTGTTTAAATTATTTTAGATAATTTTCCAATGTATTTGACTTTTTTAGAAATTATAATATAGTATAAGTTATATAAGCTCGATTCTTTGTAATTGTGTGGTCTATATGTTTTTTTTAAGACTAGAAAACAAAAAAAAAACACATTGGCTCAACTTGTACACTATATTTTGGTATTTAAATATTTATTGTATTTTAGATTAAATTAATATAATTATTTAAATAAATATATTGTTTACTTACAATATCATAAAAAATAGTGCCTAGATGTTTGAATTGATAGTTTTGTTAATTTAGTTGGAAATGTTTTATAGCGTATATAAGGAGAAAATGAGACAAAATTTAATTAAAACACTGCCATCATTAAACGGGACACTGAAGTTTTATGTGCCCAAAATAGTTGGGTTTAGATATTCAGAGAAAAAATTAATTAAAGTTGTTGTAAAGTCCTAAGGTGGCGAGGGTTGAGTCTGTATGAAGTTCTCTCTCTTTGTGGAACGTTCGGTCGGGTGATATGCAACCCTTATATTTGTACCGAGAGAGAATAGTTGGACAAGGGTATTTGAGTAATTTTAAAGAGGGTTGTAGAATAACTTGAGTATCAATATATATATATATATATATTTAAGTAATAAATAACGTTAGTAAAATTAAAGTACGGAAAATCATTGAGTATATAATAAATATTGTACAGTTTATACTCAATAGTATAACATAATAATAGTTTATGAGCATGTGTAGTTTTTTTTGTTCCCTGAGACTTTTAGTTGTACCTACAAGTTAAATTGTATTTAGCGTGACAGTAAAATAGTGACTTGTAGTGAAATAAAATGAACAAAAATTGTTACGATTAACAAGAGACTTACGCAAACTGCCGACAGTATGAATAATAAATTATATAGCACGACAAGTTATCGTCGATAACAATTTTTTTTAAATTATTATTTTAGAATGAATAATTAAGAAAACAGAAATACAACAGAACTAAACAAGTAGCAATACTATAAAAAAAAAAACACTACTATAGTATCATTTAAAAATTTTTTCCAATTTTTAAACTATAATAAATAATATAATTTAAATGAATATTTTGATTTTTTTGAGGGAATTTTTGATATTTGTTAGGACATTAAAGCCCCAGCCCTATTTATAATTATTAAATTGTTACAAATGTTTTGTTTTTATTTAGGCGTTAAAATAATATATTATAATATATTTTTATAGCGTTATAAAATATATTTTATTATTATATACCATATAGGTACGTAATTATAACCGTTTTACATAGATAATTTGTATATATGACATTTCAGTAAATAAATATGTTCTAAAATTATACATTAGTTATTCATTATCTATGAAAAGTTGTCAATTATAAAAAAAATATCTTTAATGGTTAATAATTAATTTAAAATGTTGTATTTCAATAAATTATATGTTATTACAAATGTACACTGTTATCGCTAGTTGGAAACGTAACATATTTTATTATAATTTATAATATTAGTTCTCTACACAGGCTATGTTTAAAGGAGGTAGGTAAATACACTCCATATTCACTAAAAAACTAATATTAATTTAGATAATTGCAATATATTTACTAATTTATACATATTACATATATTAAGTGACACTGCAATATGTATAATGTTGTAAAAAGTTTTTGTACTTCAGGAGTTTAAAATAATAATTAGCTTATGAATGCGCGCGCGTATCATATTCAAATTACGCAAGTGACATAAATACAAAACAGTCAACAGCATTGACACGAAACGTTCTGAACGACAGTCCGTAAAATAATAATGTACTTCTCGTGAGATTATTGCGCGTAGCCCCCGTTGAGGGGACAATGGGTGTGGTTACCCACGACCCCACGGCGGCGAGATGGAATTCAACGCCATCTCTTGAGCGTTGTATACGTTTCACTTCTACCAGAACGGTCTCTTAATGCGTGCAGCATTTTTAATCTATAACGAAGTATATATTTCGATTAAATATTATTTATTTAGTAATCGTTTCCCAGTCGATCATGTTGATAATTTACTTCTACAATGGTAGGTCTTTCATTTTGACTCCTCATCACGTAGGCTGCCATACAACAAATCCTAATTGTATAATTTTTAATTTATAACTTCAGCTATATACGAGGAAAATGTTGGTCTCGGAGTCGTTATAATTTTATGTAATTTGCAGTAAATATTTTCTTAAAATCAGTATCGACATGTCTTATTATTGTAACAGGATTTTTTTTTTTTACAAATTTCACAAATAATCGTATACGTTTTAAATGTGATTGAAATGAGTGTCTGTAAACACACAGTGTAAAATATACTCCTGTAATATACAAAGACGTTATGCTTCACGTTCATAAATCTCAAATGTATCAATATCGTTTTCTGAGTAGCTTTTACAACGCTTTCTTATAGAAACATGGAGTGAAAACAGAATTTAACGCGTAAAGGCGTTGCGCATAGGCAACATATTCAACTTGTCGATTGCAACCACATGTCGTTGGCATGATGACACGTGTGATAAAATCAACATTCTTGCACATTAGTTTTAAGTTTTTATAATATATAAAGCGGTCAATATATTTTAGTTACTGACAGACCTTAAAAATTTTTTTGTCGCAGTGATCGTTACGACTGAGGCAAAACGTACATATAATATTATTGTGGATGCCAAATTCTAAGATACTTTTCTATACCTATATTACAAAAAAAAAAAAAAAAATTAAATTTTACGTGCTTTCTTTATAATCGTATGCCTGTGTTTTTTAATTTAAACTTTATTTAGAAATCAATAAGAGAAGTAGGAATTGTGACGTTTAAAAGATGACATTTTGGTTGTTAATTTAATGTGCAGTAATTAATTCTGATTTTATAAAAGTATTATTGGGATTTATAAATATATAAACGCCCACACTATGATAAATCATCATGTATACAACACGATTGCGTCTCAAGTCCGTCCCCCCTTCCTCAATCACAGAATTTGTAACATATTTTTAATTTGCCCCTATCGGATTGTTGTTGTTGTTGTTTCCTAGTTGTTGTGTTAAACCGGACACGTTTTGATTTGATTTTGTAGCGTATTGAACGAAAAAAAAACCGACCGAAAATGATTCTAGTGAAACTGATCGAAGACGGACTCGGGTCGCCGCCCGAGTGGGCCGCCCTAGAAGTACAAGGTGATCTCGAAACCCGTCGGCACACGCCCCTCGAATGTCAATACGTCGGTGATCTGTTCGCGACTATTCGGGACGGTGTGCCCATATTGATCATCGGCCATCACATCCTGTACGGCAAAGCGCAGACGTTCGACAAACCTCTCGCCGTGATGAAGAAGAAACCGGACGCGGACGAATACGTGGTCGAGGCCATAGTCACCAAAAAGTTGCTATTCAAGAACCGGCCCAAGCCTATCATTGCCTGTCATTCCAACGACCTTTGAATGTTTAAACGTTTTTTTTCCGTTTAAAGTTACGATTTCGGCGTCCATGCAATGATGATTCATTATAATAATATATGTAGTTTTAATTTGCCCTCGATCAGACATCGAATTGGTCAACAATGTATATTATTATTTGGAGTCGTTCTGCTGAAACTAAATACATTTTAATAAAAAAAAAACATTTGAATACACGTTATTTTTTTGACCTGCGACGTTTCTTTACTGTTGTTGTAATTGTATTTTTAACATTGGCGCGGCGCTGTTTTTCGAGTTGTTTTACGACGCCTAAATCTATTCAGCTAAGCAACTTAACTCTCACTAGTGATATCTAAGCCGCTAGTGTTTCTAACGGCGGTCGATGGTCGCACAATTTGTTATTTTTTACTCATATAAAATAATCAATTGATGTTTTATTTTTACAAGTACGATCGGTTTAGATTTCCTCACGATATTTTGCTACTTTTATATGATAGGTTCGACTGCTATCGTCTGAAAATCGTCTTTATTTTTGTAGAATTACGAAAAAGATGGCTAACAGACGTTTAATAATGATATGAACAAATATTGTCTTACTATGTCATGTTCCGAAATAAACGATATTGAGTCTGTATACTTATTACCGAATATATTTCGTTAACATCAACAACATTATATTAAAATGAGTAACGTATTCATCGATTGGGCATTTAGGTTTTATTTTTTATTTTTTTTTTTTCGTTTAATTAGTTTTTGCGGGATATAATTTAATAAATAGTGCACGTAGAGGTACATATTAATGCTAATCGATCCACGTCAACGACTGGCGTTGATGTTGTTGTTGTTGTAATGACATATTATACATTTTATCGCACGTTTTTAATTCGAACAATCGTCACGAAATGTAAATAATAGAATAATTGTCCATTTCGTCGTTTACTTGATTTTCGAATATTATTCTATAATACGTATGCATAACGTATATTTCTTGTTTCTTATTTTGTTTTGGACTGAAATCCATGTTGTGAGGTTTTACGTCTTTAGTCGTTCGGTTTTTATACCAGTCGTGTCGAGACGTAAACGTCGTTTTCATCGATCTTTTCCCTCTCGAAACGACATTGATCTCAAAACCACCATTGTAATCGTGTATATGGATAATTTTTCATCTATATGTATATCCGACATCGATTATTCTCCAAGCTATATTGATAAAATAGTTTAATTATGGCACGACACGAGAGTGTTGAGTTCGCGTAACATGATATCTGTGTACGAGAACAATAACGCGTGAACAAAAATCGCCTTATTATTTTTTACGCGTGGGGCGTAATGTAAAAAAGTTTCAAAAACAAAAACGTTATAATATTATATATCGGGCCTTTCCCTGTAGTCAAAGCTGTTGCATTACAAGACGTAGAGATGTTTGTATGTAGAACACCTATGTTATTACATTCGTCAAAAAATCACAAACGCGTATAATAACGCTGCAGAAAATGAGTGTTATAGTGAAATATTTGCTTGAGATGAGTTATATTTTAAGACGCCCGAGCACTCTCTCGATCTCTCTTTCTGCGTGTGTCTCTATTTCCCTCTTGACATATTGGCGGACAGAGCCACGTGATTCGTTGCAGTGATTTTAGGTTTTATTACAAGACTACAATGATGTTTTATTTTAACGAAATTATTCTTTTCTCTCGTCTAACCTGCATATTCGGATATCGTTTTGTTAATTCGACTGACAATAATGTACACGTATAATAATATATGTAATATATAAACACAAAACAAAAAACAATTCTCTTGAAAATGTTTGGTAATGATTTCTCAAAGAAAATCGGGTCGGCGAATTCAAGCCAAGGTCTCCTATGGTGTGAGGTATGTGAGTGCGAGCCGAGCGACGGTGGTTATAGACGGCTGCCGGTCGCTGAGACTGTTACAAATTCGTACGACCGAGAGGCCTGTTTCCAAGGACAAAGGACGCGATATTAATTAAGTCCCTCGATTGTCTCGAGTATGTATTATTATTATTAAAAATCTAAATCTTGGAAACGTTTCTTTATTTCGCGTGTAATTAATATCAACGTTCAATGTCAGGATTTTCTCCCACCCTCATTCGCCTATCAACTCGGCGTTTGAATATGATATATAAAAACACACATTATAGTTTATTGTTTATAAATATTATATTGTTATATTACAACGTTACCGTGTTTCAAATTTTAAAATACATTATTTATTATCTTATTTTTAAAGCTGTAATCTTATAATCGCGTGTAATAACTGCGTGCTACTATTATTAGTGCAGGTTATTTCTGGTATTAGTCTTCGAACATATTTTAATGTCAAAACATAAAAAGTGATAAAAATTAATCTTGCTTAATGTCAATAAATTGTAGGTGTACTTAGATTTTATAATAAAGAAAAATAAACTATTACTCCCAGAGAAATCAGTTTCAAGTGGAGAGTTTCTTTTTGAATGACGAGTGACGTATTATTTAATTTAAAATATTTATATAATAGATGAAAAAATTAATTGTTTGTCGTCTCTTTTTTATTATTATAATATGTAATTTATAGAACTTCGATTTAAATCATTCATAATTATGAAATATTATTATTTATGTACGATAAGGATATACCACCTATATACCTAACCTCATATTTGTATTTGAACGGTTGTTGTGTACTTACTGAAATTAATTTTAAAAAAATTTGCTTTAACCTTGGGTAGTATGCTTGAAATTTATTTGTATATTAACAATTGACTGAAACAGTGCCATCTCGACCTGATGATAATTTGTCAAAATGCAAGTTTCCTGTTATTGTAGGCAGAGAAATGGAACACATTCTTCTATTCATTGTTTAAAAACAATGAAATTATCATAATTATTTAGACTATTATATAGTATTAAATTATCAAAGGGCAAATGTCTAACACGATTCACTCCCGCCGCCTTGAAAGATCCTTGGTCTCTTTATTTTTATTTCGTTTTCATGGATACCGCATAATATCTATCTAGGTGTACTATATAATACTGTACTAAATTACAGAAAAATGTTCCGTGCGTATGTATTGACTTTGAAAATTTACCTCCGTGGTAAGATGTAAATTGCTTTTTTTTATATTTCATCTTAATCTATTAGTCTATCTTTCAATTTTAGTTATAATAAATAAATAAAAACAATAATACTTAACCTATCACATTATTATTTTATATTAAAATTATTTTGTTTATAATTAAATGAAAATAAAAAGATTGTTTCGTGTTTAGACTTAGTAGTTAGGTTAACCAGTCAGTCTCTTTAATTTCATTATTTTTTCTTATTAGTGGAAGACATGAATTCCAACTTTAAATAAGCTTCAGACATTTACTGTTCTCTAAAGTCTTACAAAAATTAGGAATCGTAATAATTAAAAGAATTCGTTATATTCCTATTTTAATAAGTAATAAACAATTTTTTACTTAACACTGTAACATTTTACACATAAAAATTACTGAAGCAGATACGTGCATAATAACACTAAGTGTTGATAAAATAACCAGTATGCCTTGTTAGTGGTGTCGTAAACTCGTACGTATACTTTATTCGAACAAACAAATTATTTGTAACAAATAACTTATATGGTACATTGGCACTAAGAGACCAGCCATGTGACTATATCTCTAAGACTGGCTGTGCGACTAAGACACGGGTTACCTTTTTTTTTTTTTTTTTAAAGGGTTTTTCTTACATTTTATTATTGAGTGTAATTGTTATTGCCTTCCGAAGGTCAATTTTTATTAATAAATGAGATAATACATTTTTGTTTAGATAATATAAGATTAGATTTTGTTTTTGTAAATATTCATAATGTATATCATACAAGTATAGTATGACTTAGGTGATTATGAGTAACACTATGATTGTATTATTATTATTTATAATCAGGAATTCAACGTTAATGATTATTAGCTTGTCCTATAAAATATTATATTGCTATTAGGCGCACATTTTTAGTATTTTTACAGTTTTTTTTTTTTTTTTATTATTATTATTAAATAATAAATACAATAATATTTATTCTTAAAATGTTTATAATGTTTTACAGTGTAATTCTATTTTGATTATGGTTTTAATTTCATAAAAGAATTGTGATTGTATTATTTGATTTTTACTTATAAATTATGCTTATTGGTTATCGTTAATGTCAAATAATTTTCTTTGTGTAGTATTTATCATTACATTATTTGAAACCATAATATGTATATATAGTAAATATTATATTTATAGATTATACTTACCAATTTTCTATTGACTATATTTCCCAATATACATTCACGGCTGGATGAAGAGCTTTGGTTGTCTTTTTAGACTTTAATACAAAATAATAGCTGTCCTACTTTCCTGACACCGTTTATCTGTACGCTTAAACAAAATCAATACAGACGTGTCAATGGGTAGTATTAATTATAGCATTATTTATAGATTAATTGTTATCATTACCTAAGCGATACCATTATCTACGGTTAATAATAGGTTAGATAAAAATATATTATTATAATAGGTTTTATACTATAAAAATCTTTGTACTATATTTTTATAATATCGTGAGTATACGTACAGTACACTTTAGCAGCAGTCACCAGTTACCGATCAACCCGCGACGGTCACCGGTCGTAGATGATTATATTTTCGTATTCTTTATAAATGACGAGTTAATATAAATTGTTATATTATATGTTTTTTATCCAATGATAGTTTTTAAATGTCATATTAGATATAATAAATACCTAGATACTGGCTTCTATCCTAATCTTTAATATTAACATATTGTTTTATGGTGGTCCTGTGATAGTCTGTAAGCTGCAATAAGCAACATACGAGAATAACATATTTTAGTTGATTTTACTTTTTGTTTTACTAAAATAATTTTTACGAACTTTGCATTAAATAAAAATGAATGACAATATAGATTTTCTCGAAATTATATTACTTTGGTCGAAAAAAGACCATTTATTAATATTTTAATAGCACTTCATATAACATAATTAACGATTTTTCTTTTAAAAGTAGAAATAAATAAAATAATACCTTATATTGGGTGGATTAATTGAATAAGTATTGCCTTATCTAGTTAAAAAAAAATCACTCTGTATATATTATAGTGATCCAAAATATTTATTATAATTTATATCGTACATTCGTACGTGTATATAGTTTTATTTACCGTATAATTGATTAATTTTCATAAAAGTTCACTGATAAACTACTATTTTGAAACTAGATATACGTATTGCCTAAATCATGTTATTACATTTACATCGGAGTACCAGGCGCCATCATTTTTTGTTCGCGGCGGACCGTTTCGTTTTTAAGCGTCGATCAATATATCTCGTACTATTTAAACCGGAGGGACCAAATTTCCCATGGATTCCATTGGCCACTACTGTCCGTATATTATATGTATATGTTTTTTACCGCTGCATATATTATTATATGTGCTATTCAAAACACTGTATACATGCACAAGCAGGATTTGTGATTTGTGCGCTTATAATATAAGTTTAATTTATATTTATCCAAAATGTTTGATCGAGTAATAATAATAAAAATAATTTAGTCTTGTCTACATCAGACGGTAATGGTTGTCGTTGTCGGTAGTATAAGAGTATAACATTTGTGAATGCATTTATATAATATATTATTATATCTATATGAAAAGCATTTTTCGTGTAATTTCCATTTTTTTCTTTTCGCAAACAAATAACTTTCATCTGACACTGCGGTTTCGGAGGTAATAAACAAATTATTCGAAAGGTTAGATTTGAAAACTTAATAAAGACATGTCTACGGGACTGTTGCTTGACTGCAGTAGGTATAGTACGAGCAGACACACAATAACATATTACTGTTTGCATATTATATGTTTATCGTGGTATACTGCAGGTATTAATTTGTATTATTATAGTTTATAATTTTGGGTATGAACAATAGAAGAAAAACCTTGAATTAGTCAATTCCAATATTATTTCAACAAATGTATTTATTTTTTCCTTTTCTGTAGCCCTTTAAACGTTAATCTGTTTCGATCGAGTGTTTATCTTTTGTTCTACGAGTACAAATTTTCCCCACACGGTGTATAGTTTTCTGTGTACCTTTATGCTGACTGTAGAAAATAATATCCGACAATAGATTTCTCTAAACAAACCTTTGGTAACAAAAATCTATATACATATATAGTACGTATATATACTGTTGCAGCTGAAACTGTGTATATATCAAACTTATATACACACGCGCACAAAACATTTTAACCGTATATATTTATAAAATATATGGTTTGAGTGCACATAAAATGTGAATCATATTGTAGTTATTTGAGTAAAATGGTTTATTATAACATAGACTAAGAAGGAACCGGGATCAGCTCATCCAAATTACCTTTTTTAACAATATCATAATAGGTAGTACACTTATTACGGTGTTCGTAAAGGAATTATGATATCGACGAAAACGCTGGGCTATGTTTAGCAAATGGTTAACATTTATCCCGAGCATAGTAAAAATATTGCACATAATAATATGTAAAATGTTTTGTACATAGTAAGTACTTACATAGTATCTATACATTCCATAGTACCGGATAACGAATTTGGCTATTTTGTTTTAATAGCAAAGGCGGCCTATATGTACAACTATATAACGTAACAAGTATGATGATAAATTCTGACTTTACTCAACTGTTACTTTTACATATCCGTTCATTATAATGTACCAATTACAAGTTACGTGTTATTATACCTCTTAAAATAAAAATATTATGATAAAATCTATCATTATAATTATGAAATTTACACTTATGAATTATGAGTCATGACATTAAAGTATTTATAGTTTATTAATTATTATAGTATTAACTTAACCACTGTTTAGCAATTTTTCAAATATATTTAACTTAAAACAACGTTTGAGGTAAAATAACCCCTTTGTAACCCTCGATCATCTGTAAATACCCCTTCGTATTTTAGTAGTGTATAATATTATGTACGTACCAGGCTGTCGTCCATGTTTATATCGATCGGCATGGTGAAACAAAATCGTTATTTAAAACTTACTGAAAAAAAGTGCATAGTTTTCGAGTTCACCAGGGACTGCTAGACAGAATGACGCTCATAAATATATATTATGCTTTTTTTTATATCGCGTATATATTTTTGTACAGATAATACAATAATAATATAATATTAAAATACGTAGCTCGCGTGAGTAAATATACAGCTTAGACTAGATTTGTTGGTGCGGGATTCCATCTATAATGGTCTAGTGTAATGTACGTATTATACGTACCAGTATTATAATATATCCGTAACAATAATTATAATGCAGTCTGTGTAATGTGTATACGCCGTGTTCGTTCCAAAAGTATACGGGCACGTCTGACAAAAAAAAAAAAAACCGACCTTATGGCTTAATAATAATAATATTTAAACCAGCTCGACCCTGTATACTGGCAGCGGCAGCAGCTGTCCATCAGATAACGAAACGCGCGGTGCACAACGTGTTATTTCGGGTATGCATGTGCAGTGTGTACGAACTATAATATACAGGGTGTCATGCCTTGTTCATTGTATGTGCACGCGTACTCTTGATATTCACCTATCCTGTCGTGACTCGATAATTCGTGCAAGTTTCTGTTATCTAGTATACAAAAATTAATGGATTTCGATTGTTTAAAATTTTTTTTTTTTGAACCGAAGTCTCCGAGGTTTTCTAAGAACGACGAACACAACAAAATATCGATATTGGAATAAAAATCACCATTAACAGACACGGACACCTTGTATATGCTCCACACTCGGAGGCTGCACGCGAGTGTATTTAATCGTATTGTATGATATACTTCAACAACGGCGGCTCGACAAAACGCATTTCGTACACTCGTTTTTAAGTATTACAATATTCAAACTATATAGTCGACTCGACGAAAACTGCATGATATATTATATCTCTGCAAAAGAGCAGCAGCCGATCGTCATCCCGCGTTCGTCCGTATCGTATATACCACGCTTGCTATTTATTATATAATATGCATATTAGTGGTGCGTTCGTCAGTATGCATTATAATATATTATAGTCGGGACTCCACCACCACCATCAACCCGAGGGGGTTGTCGACCTCCACCGCCGCTGATGTGTTATATTTACGCACGCACG